TCCTTCAGGAGTTATACTTAGGTTATGTCTACACCACAAGGATTTTGCACAAAAACGGCTGTTTCTGCACAAAAACCGGCAGAATGTCCACACCTCAAGCGCATTTTTGCACAAGAAAATCAACAGAACAGAGGGCTTTTTCAGGTAGAGTTATTCCTCTCCCCACAAGGAGTAACTCCTTTTTGCGCTACAGCTCTTGCACAAAAAGGCAGGTGTGGACACTCCGGAGGGGTTTTTGTGCAAGAAACTCCTATCGGAAAAAACACAGGTGCTCTGATGGCCATTCTGTTAATGAAAATCAGAACTTCCTTGTGCAAGAGTGTCCATGCAGAGTGGACGCTCTCTTGCACAAAAATACATCGCGTTTGCGATGCGCTTTGAGGTGTGGACGTGCTTTTGTGCAAGAAGTTTTTGCGTAAGAACTCTTCTGCAAAAGGCTTCTTGCACAAAAATCCTGCAGTGTAGACCAAGTCTCAGGCTATGTCAACACTGCCGGCTTTTGCCAACAGAGAGCATACTAATGAAGTGCTCATTAGCAACTTCTTGTTCTTCATTAGCATCATCTCTGCCCGAGGCTTTTTGCACAAGAGGTTTTTGCGCAAAAACCAGCAGTGTAAATGGATCCATTTTGCGCAAATACCCCCTTTTGCACAAGATCTGTATACCTGAGGCATAAGGATTTTGGCAAAAGGGGGTTTTAGACATAGGTCGTAGACATAGCCTTATTGTCTGCTTTCCTCCCTCCATGGGCAAGTAGCAGAAGGTGGGAAAAGGCTGCTGGTTTAATTAGGGTCAACAGCATTGCTTCGAGGACAGCTAAATAATTTGGAAGAGAGAGTGTTGCAAAGTATATTAAGGGATGGGTTTGCCTTCGCCCCCTCCCCTAGGCTCTGGTATCAAACTTACTCAATTTACTTTTCAATGCAATTACTAGTTGCTTTATTACACTTCTGAATATGTATCTGCTGATTGTAGGCTGCTTGGGACAGGGACTATATTTTTGTTCTATGTGTATACAGTGTCTAGCACAGCAAGCCTTGGGCATCTAGGTTCTACTTATAAAACAAAATATATAGTATTATGAGAAATCTGTTGCCACCTCTGCTGTTCCACATGTCATTATGTCGCAAACCATAGCAATGAGTAAGGCCTACTTTTCCAGGGCACATATCCCAGGCCGTTGCCTCAAAAGCAAGACTTTGGAAAAAAACAAATATAGGCTAGAATCAGAAATAGGAGGATTAGACTGAGAAAAGACCTAAGGGAAGGAAAGCTGTTTGCTTTTGCCATTTGGTATTGGAGGAAAAAAAATTGGGCAACTATATGGAGGAAATTGGCTTGGATATTATAACTATGCCATACAAGAAAGGGAGGTCAGTTTTATGAACTGTGCAAAGTCTTTTATCAAGACTTGATTGTTAAAAAATTAACAAATTCTAATGTATCAATATATTTGAGCATGGATTTCTCACAAACAGTTCAGAGCAACAACTGAACCAGAGATTCAGTGTTTGGAATTCATATGTCCCAATGTCATATAATGTTTTCTGTTGGATGACCTAACTTTTATAATCAACTACATATCTCAAACATTATGTATTAATTCATTAATCTTGACTGAACCTGAAAATCACTTTTTTCAAAAGTATACAAAGGTTTAGTTGCTAGGGAACAGCAAATAATAGAGGTAAAAGTAGGTGGAATCAAAATCCAGTGAACTGTTCGCACTAAGTTTTTTGTTTTACCCTTTTCATTCAGATGTATCTACAATAAATGTGATGCATGAATTTGTAGCGAATCTAACCTTAATCTATGATTTACAGATCAGCATATTCTTTAATGAATATAGATATTTTCATGAAAAAAAATGTCTAAGGTGTACAGTCATTCCAGTAATCTGATTTTTGAAGGTTTTTTTTTTTAGGGTTCAGAAATGGGAAATTGAGTTGGATTTTTGTTTTGTGTGATTGTACAAGTTCTGATTTTACATATTTCAAAAGCTTCTTTTCTGAACATCCTTCTCTATAAATAAGTATAGTCTATTGTATGGAATATAATTACATGATCACATTTAATATTCTGATAGTTTTATTAACAAGTATAATACATATTGTATACTGTATATAGCATGAGGACTGTACAGTACAAATTTATGTTCACAGTTTGCCATGACAAAATGTCATTACTGAATTCCCATTGGACTACCAAAGTAGAAACAGTGAAAGTACATTAAACATTCACATCTTTAGTAAGAAAGATTACCAAAATGTTTCAGTATTTGCAAGTTATAGTAATGCATGCTAGAAACCTTTAATTACCCACTCAGTCTTATTAGCTTATAAAATATATTACATTTTATTAAAAAAATTTCTGTATAGTTTATACAAGTATTAAAGTAAATGTAATATCCCTGCTATATTTGCAGGTAATGTTTTAAGAAATGCTAAGCAGAAAGATTATTTTGACCCTCTAACATTTAAAGTACATAAATAGCAGAAAAGTGCTAATATCGGTAAGACATAATGAAAACTGTTGTAACCCTCTTAATACATGTAAAATGTTTTTTTTTTAAGAAAGGATTTGCATTCATTTACAGATTACTAACCTTGACAGAGACAAAACACAGACAACATTCACACAAGCTTCTGGCTTTTGGAGAGATCATTACAGAACTACAGTGTATATTTAAATAAAACCATATTACTGTCATACCTGTTTAACTCCGAAGGATTGTCTCGGAAATCCATTATAATGTAATCCACTATAATGTCAAATGGTACATACAGGTACAATATTAGTATAATGGTATTCCAAGTTACATGCTACACAGTGCTAGTGCACAGGTTCTTCTTTTAAATACACAAAGTAAATCCTGCTGCAGAGTTGTGTGTGTATCTTTAGACCCAGTCCTGCTTCCATCCAGGTGAACAAGAGGAGTGAGCTCTCTAGATAGGAGCTGCTGCTTGTTTAGTATTTCCTTAGTTAATTTTTTTTTGATGCACTCCCCAAACCAAAGTTAATGCCCCATTTAAAATGCAGATTCACATTTTAAACTAAAAAGATAAAATTTACTTTGTAATCTCTTTTCTGACTTCCCAGAAGATCCAACACCACATACATAAAGTGAAAAATCCTATAACAGGTCATTTACATGAAACTATCTTATTTGGTTACAAATAATTAAGATTCTATTTAATGTTTAAATTTAAGTCTGCTGTCAGTGTCCTATACAGGGGATTCCTGCTATAAGTCACCCAAATACACATCCGATCTGCACTAGCGTCATTGAAGCTAGTAGGAACTGATGTGTAATAAGTCATCCCATTCCCCGCTCTTAAGTTGGGCAAAAAAAAATTTGCGCACAAAAGGCAGCCGTGGGGAAAAAAAATCCTCGCTTTAAGTTGTTTTGCTATCAGTTCAAATTTTTTGGAATGTATCTTAGACTTATAGCAAGGACGGACTGTATCATAAAGCATATGGCCATGGGCATTTTATAATTATATTGCATCTTAACAGTATTTCTCCCTACAACTCACTATAAATATCTTTAAACAGAGGCAAACAGGTTAACCAGAGAACATGATTTAATAGTCTACATCTCAGGGATTTAATGATTGCTGGAATAACTTCACTAATTTCAGTGAAGTTATGCCAGAAGAGCACATGGCCCCAGATGCAAACACTTAACAAAATTCTTTCATGAAAGACCAAAAAGAAAAAAGCAGCACAGGAAATGTACTGTCACAAAAATACCAAATGAGATGTGAATAAATTAAGTTCAAAATAGAAATGGAATTAGAATGTCTGAGACCCGCCTTTCTTTATAGGAACCTATCTGCTTGTTTCCAGGTTATAACGGAGTTGTTTTCACCACAGCATGCCAAACACCTAGCCCCACCCCCCGTGATATTTTTCAAGGTTCAAATTCAGGAATTGACTTGTGAGAGTGCACTGCGTGGAGCCCCAATTAAAGTCAATGAGTACAGTGTACATGAACAGCTAGCTGTAAACAAGAGCTTAGATATCAATTTTGATTCTGTGATGTTAATGGGACTAGTCTATACTAGTTCTCTTTCCAGGAAGATTTTTCAGTGTTAATGACAGAGCTATGAATCCACAGAAGGTTGAAAGAATTTACCTGGTAGTTAAATTTTTATTGATTACACAACTATAAATCTGGCATAGCTTCAATTCATTCCAGTAAAGCTACTCCAGACATACGGTGGTTTAGGAAAGCAGAAACCGGCTCAGATCCCTTACACCAGCATTCACATGAAACTTCCAGGCTGTATGTTTTGATTAACACCACAGCACTACAGAAGAGTGAGAGATTCCTTAGATTAAATGTATGTCCAGTCCCATACTTCAGTATATGAGTGTTAATTTTAGAGCGGGAGAAATACTTTGTATTTATGGCAGTAGCACACTTTGCACTTTTCTATACAAGAATTGACAATATCCCTAATTACTCTGACTCTTGGCATTACAGTTCAATTAACTGTAAGGTATAATTTTATTCTTTACTCTCCCAAATATCTATACATTGGCCTATACTTATACTGCTAGAGGCCCTCCCCTTCCTATCAGTTGCACTGAGAGTGGGGAGCAGATGTGAATGTCAGGTAGATGTGAGCCACACTGTCAAGACAGTAAACTGGCTAGGATTTTCTAGCTGTCCACAGTGTTTTAGGGGCATGAACACTATCTGTGCTATAGGTCTCAAATTCCTTCCCAGAGCAAGTAGCAGGCAGATATCTTCCTTTCCAGTAAGTTTTTCCATGAGGTTAAAATTTAACTATGACATTTGCATATTGCAGGAATGGTGCCTGGTTTGCATAATGAACTGAACAAAAACCATTGTGGACATAACAGTTTAGACAAACAACATCTTATTTCCTTGTAGTGCCCCAAAAGCAGTCAACTAATATATGCAGGAACCTCTGTCTTTGTGCAGTTAACACTTCCAAAGATTTGGAACAGATTTAGCACCAACATTGAGGTTGCTTTACACCTGGGTATTTATTTTATTTTGTTAACAAATACTGGGATTTGAACCTCCCTGACTCAGTTTTTTAATACAACACACATATCTAAGGGATCTCTTGGCCCACCTACCATCAAGAAACCAACAGAGCCACAAACCAAATCACAGAGTCATTAAATGGCTAATCAAGTCTACTCTCGTCACTTGAGAGAGTTACACAATTCAATTTCTCACAGGATGTGCTTCCAGTTGGATGCCATTTTTGCCATAAAAAAATCTTGCGAACTAAAATTTAAATACTGTAGTGTTAACAAATTGGCACACATTTCCAACAATGGTACAGTTTGGAGCATTTTGATATAACAATTGCTGTTTCTGAGGTACAATGAAATTATTAAAGAACAGGAAATACAGGGGAGTGATTACTGAGAAATATATCTTTACCCCTGAAATGAGGTATGATAGCTCTCTATGAAAATAATGTAATGTCTGTCATAGAAGTACCATGTGTGTTCCATCTGTACGGCTGCACACAAAACAGAGATAGTGTCACATAGGAATCACACATTTAAGGAATCTACGGAGACATCATGCAATAAACACAAACTCATGTACTACAGTATAATACAAAAGATAGGGGACATTGGGTTAGAGGCACAATCATGCATATATACCAATTTCTGCTGATGATTCTTCAGATAGTATTATTCATTAGTCCAAATCAGTTATCATTTAACCTTTCATGATGTAAAGAGAGCATTTTACTGAGTGAATGATAATAATTAACCTGTCTTGGCAGAGTGGATTTCTACAGCGAGAAGGTGTCTTTCTAAAAGTGTTGCTTTAAACATGCTGCTGTAACCAGCAATGTTGGAAAGTCCATTCATTGCACTGTTGAGCATTAAAAAAGAGCATATCCTTTGCAGGGCTCAAATAAAGTCTCTGGCAAGGACTGGATATTGAATAACATTTACTAATTGATCAATATATGCTGGCTGACTTTATGGCAAAACCAACAAAGTTGTTAGTTTACAAATTTCCTTATTCAAAAAGGAATACATTACACATACTGTCTCCAGGAAGCATCCCTAGGAAAAAAAACCATTCACATTCTTTAGGTCTGACCCGTGGCAAGGACATAGCAGGGTTAGATAACATCTATTACTGACCATATGGAAGCTTTTATTGTATAAGCTCAGAGATTCAGTCCAGCTGAATCCAGATTAAAATGAACATGTAAAAAAGGAAGCGTGATGGGAGTTGAGGGAGAAGAGACATTCAAACAAGCATATGGCGTTTCCTGTGGAGAGCAAGATGATCTGAGCGTGAGAAACTACGGTCACAGTCCGGGCACTGGAAGGGTTTGATTCCAGTATGTTTACGAAAATGTCGTGTTAGTTCATCAGAACGAGCAAACTTCCATGTGCATCCCTCCCAGGTGCACTTGTATGGTTTTTCACCTAGGAAAGGGAACAGAGAATGCAGGATTTAAAGTGGGGAAAAAAATCAGAGCTTTGAGGGTGTTTCTGAATGTTTATAAACATGTCAACTGCTTTATACCAAATGATTCGTTCTCCCTCTCCCATTCTGATCCCAACTAATTCTTTTATTCGTCATCTGAAGAAGTGGGTTGTGCCCATGTAAACTCATGATACAATCTACATGTCTTGTTAGTCATTAAGATGCTACTAGTCTATTTGTTGTTTTTTAAATTTTTCCTGTTACAGACTAACTCAACTACCCCTCTAAAGCTTTTATTTAACTTACCCAAACTGACGCATCTAGCTAGCATAGTTTGTGAAGGTCTTGGTTTGTTTATGCATTTCTAAAAGTGCACAAAATGACTAGATAAAGAAGGGGTTTCTGTTACATCTCATTTGCATTACTCTGTCACCGCATCCTTCCAGTCTTACCCCTGCCATTGGTTTGTTCCACATGCACTTGTTATGGTCTTAATCTTAGATCTCTGATCCTGCAAAGACTTAGATTTCAGTACTTAAAGTTAAGCACAAGCTTTTGATATTATTCATGTGCTTACAGTAAAACTTGCATGTTAGCATTTGCAATTTTCCCTCTATGAATCGGATTCAAATTTACATTAAGCTCCATTACATTACAGGGGTGTAAATGGCCATAGTGTAAACAGGAATTAGGCCTTGCATTTTCTCTGAACAGGTCTTATTGTCACAAACTTCCAGTATATGCCCAAACAACATGTCAAGACATGACTGTAACATGGTGACTGGAAATAGGTATGGGGACATCTTCATTTGAAAAGCACTCTTAGAAAAGAGCATTCAGAATTTATCTGATAGGGTGTTAAGAGTGGCTGGATGTAATGCACAAATCTTAAGAGTCTTTAGATTTGGCACATAGTTCAGGCCTAAATAAATAAGTGCTATCCCTATGGAAGTTTCAAAGCCAAATGTAGCAGTGATGTAATTTGTGATGTAGTACAACTTGCACTTATTTAGCATTTGGAGGGTGTGCAAATGAGTACCTTGGAGACCAAGTGGGCGGAAGTGGGTATAGTATAAAAAAAAAAAGCAACTAACACAAGCATATAAGAAATACTAGAGGAAGCCTGCCTTGATTTACAATCGTCTGTTAGTTGCTTTTCCTGCTACATCCCTCTTCTAATCCAGGGCCTGTAAGGGCATATCCATTTTTGGCATAAAGGATGTTATTCCCAGCTCAAAGAGACATACACAGCTCTGACTGGCCTATAGTGCTAAAAAAAAGATTGTTGCCATAGCAGCATAGTTGCCAGGATGGGATGCCTAGAGCATGTACCCGTATCTGAGACCACAGGCATAAACTCAGAGCAGCTAGATCATCTCACTACTCACAATGTGGCTACACTTGGTTTGTAATTTGCTAGTTTAATTAGGGATAGTGTGACTATTTCTCCATCATCATTCATACCTCTAGCTCCAACTATATATATTCCTACATTACATACATTTTGCAAACCCAAATGAATATCGAACGTGTCTAACCTGCATGACATTACCATTTATACCTGACACGTCACTACATCAGCTTTGAATTTGAATCCTGGATTTCTGTAATCAACTCAGATATAAGGGAGGACCTTATACCACTACATGATGGAAATTCCAGTGACATGTGCCTTAGATTGCTTTAGACTTCCTTCCCTTAGAATGTTGTGTTAGTATTCTTTACTTTTAACAGAATAATTGGGATACATTTACATTACCTATGTATTTCCTTCTGTTTAAAAAAAGCCTGAAGCACCTGTTATTTATCTAGAAGCCTATTTTAGATTGATGCAAACCAATGTTGATGAAAAGAAAGTGTATCAAGACTCGTACCTGTATGCGTTCTTCTGTGAGCTTTTAGATGGGAGCTTTTAGTATAGACCTTGTTGCAGCCTTCATAATCACATCTGTGTATTCTGCGTTTCCTTTGTGTGTCTGGAGACTCCACAGGTAAGGGTCTCTTTCCCGGCTGAACTATAACTGAGGGGTGATTCCTAAAAAATGAAGTTATAGGTTAAAATGAAAAATATTTAACAAAAGTAAACATGCACTGATCCACAATAGACCTCCTTTATTCATTAAGACAGTCTCTTGGCAGTGTGAATTAAATTCTATTATATGCATATAATGTAAGAAGAGTTAGCAAATTTCATAGATGTTAGTAGTGATATTTTAATTCATTCCTCTTTTGAGTATATTCACTTTGTGGCATAAGCAAAACCAAAGATATTCTTCTCAGCATGCTTGGGTTTTAATTTATTTTCACTTATAAAGGAATGAAAGTCAAAATCTCATTTCTCAGCAAGTAAACTCAGGATTTCCAAACTCTCTTTCCAGTTAACTTTCATTGCTTTTGTTTATATTTTTATTCTTCCTTAAAAGACAGCTAATTTGTTTTTAATTTAAAACAGCTTTTTCTTACTATTAAAAGACATCATATATTTAGTCTTAAAGCAGAACTCAGAGTCTTTATTGTTCCAGCCTCTCCTTTAGAGAGTAATTAAGAATTTCCTGTTTGGTGCTGGCAGAAGGGTGCGGCCTCTCTTAGGACTGATGTCAGTTCCTAAAAGTAGAATTTAAGACTTCATGTCACACCCACAGAAAGACTGAAATTGGCACTCCATCTTCATAAACATGATGTTCTTGCTTTTAACCCCACAGGTACTATTCAGGTAAGACATATACATACTGCTTGTACAATTTTTTATACAAATAATTATGTATATACGTGGATAAGCACACCTAAGGATATTATCAGCTCCATATATAAATCACTGGCACAGTCATGAACCTACTTTTTATGCCAATATTAGAGGAAGTAAATGAGCAAAATATATTTTTTAAAAATAGACAGGTCTTTCAAATCATAAAGCTTCACCAGCCACATTTTACACCTGAAAAATGAAAACATATTACAAATTCTTAGATATTTTCTAGCTTTTATGTAAAACTTAAGTGCCATACACAGATGCTTAGACTTTCTAGGAAACCTGCCTTCAACTGATAAAAATAAACTTGTTAGAATTCCAGCTTTTTCAGCAATTACTGTACTTCATCTTTTTAAACTAAATTTACATTACATCTAACAACATTTCAGTTTTATCTTAAGCAGTTTGTTACTTGGAGAAAGTATCTGTAGGGCCTGAAATTTAGAAATTCTGAGCTCTCAGTTTCCACTGAAGTCAATGGGAATTGCAGGTACTCATATCTTTTGAAAAATCAGTTATCAGGTTCAGAAAGGAAAATGTATTACAAGCACTATCATGATTTCTTATTTCTCTGTAAATCAACTTGCTAGAAATTAATGATTTGTGAGGAATCTGCAATTCATTCTGTTAATAGGGTCATGGACTTAAAATCTGCAGCCCATTTCATAGCAGATATGATTCCTCCACGTTAATTGCTATGCACTTGGCTGTAGGAACAAAAAGCACAATGCGCATTCACTGAATTATTCCTTTAAACTCTTTATAAGAATAGATAAAAAAAAGATGAAGAGATTGAGTGAAAAAAGTGTTAACATGTTTTGTGGAAATATTTATTGGGCTTTACTTTCATGTAACCCTGCGTCCTATATTTAATAGGTGACAACTCTGTGAGCGTAAGTTACCATGAGTAACTCAAAAAAGCATGCCCAGCAACAGAAAGATTTGTTGTTCAACCTCAGAGTATATGCAGGGAAAATATTATGCTGGGGTCACCAGATGATGCTGTTGCACAGTCTGATAAGTTCCTACATTGTGAGCAAGTTTTTAGTCTTAGAAGAAATGTTCTATTATTGTTAGTTTAGTTATGCAGCAGTCCTTTCACAAAGGATATGGAGACGGAAGAGAATAAATTCTCTGCTTTATTCTCTGTATTTGAAGGCAATTCTTGAGACACTAGCTTCTTGAAAAGCAGGTGCTGACATGCAAGCTGACTGGTGAAAGATGAGATTGCCTGATTGCAGTTTGTGACAGTCCAGACTTGAATAAGTGTGTGTAAATAAAGCAAGTTATACTTCAGCTACATCTACACTACCTCAGAAAGTTGACTTAAGGTATGCAACTCCAGCTACATAAATAGTGTAGCTGGAGTTGATGGATCTTAAGTTGAGTGTTACCATGGGGTCCACACCACAGGGGATGAACAGGAAAAACTTTCCCATCAACTCTGCTTACTCTTCTTGTCTGTGGTAGAACAACAGGATCAATTGGAGAGTGAAGACCTGCAGTTGTTTTGGCAGGTCTTCACTAAGACCTGATAAACTGACTACTGGTGGATCCATCTTATAGTGTCAATCTCCATGGGAGTGTAGATATAGCCTCAGAGTACACTCAAACTCTCTTTCTTATTTCTCTTCCATTAGAAAGTGAATCTGCAAGTGATTTCCAGAGGAGTACACTGGTTTAAGGAATGAGACAATGTTGTCAGAAGATGGGCCAACAATATTAAATAACTGCTGAAATAAATGGTCATCTGTAATTCCATAAGGTCTTATCTCTGTGTACACAAGCATATCTGAATTCATTTGAGCCTTGTGCATTTGGGTGTTTTTCTCTAACAGCTAACAATGTCTTCCAAAAATCATGTTATGACAGAATCTTTAAGCATCGTTTGTCCCCACACCCACAGTCCCTGTGGTGATGGTAACATGAATCAAATTTAATTTCACACAAACAAGAAAACACAAAATTAAGACTTCATATTGCCTTGCATCCATACTTGCATATGCCAATACTCTCAGAACAATACATTAACTTTGATTTAAAGGGAGAAGTCGGACAATTTAATTCCCATACAAAAGACAGTGACTTTGGATTAAGATAGCTAGATTGTAAAACATCAATGGCTTTTATATATTTAATATACAATCCCTCCCCTCCTGTCTCCAGTATTTAGATTGCAAATTCATTCAGTCAAGAGTTAGAAGATGCCAGATGTATAGTTGCTTGTGCCACCTTTATTCAGCCACATTATATGTCCAACCCATGTGTTTAATAAGGCAAGAGTCTTGTGGAAAAAGTAGTATGTTATCATATAAATATCACAATGAATATACAGAGAGCATCAAGTAAAGGTTGCTTGTGCAACTCAAAATCTGACTTTCCTAACTTTAAGCTTAGTGTAGTATTTTGTATATGATGTCCTAGATTTTTCTGAAGGATAAAGTTAAGAACTCTTATGTACAAATGGCCTCCTTATCATGCATCAATAGCAGGATCTGAACCATGAGTCTTCACAGCACTACAGCTCAGATTGCAATCACTGCAGAACTAACAACACTAGATGGCAGTAGGAGAAGGTTGATGTGCCAGAGTGTGGAAAGAGCAGCTGGTGCCCTATGTGGAGTCCAGATGGTGATCAAGGGGAGTGCCGCCCAACTCATTCTCTCTGCCCCAGCCTGGGCTACTCAATCCAGGGGTTTATTGCTAACAGTCTGGCCTGGCTCTCTCTTTCTCCACCCCTGGAAAGTAGGGGACTCTGCTCCCATGTAATGCTTCCAGTGGGGATGGGACTATGGGACTAGGTGCTTCAGCTCTGCTACAACTATGCTATAACTGTGCTGGCAGTCCCTGGCATCACCAGCATAGTGCCCGCTGCTGCTGCAGCTTTGGCAGAAGCCCAGGCAAGGCTCTCTAGAAAGCTGAGTGACTGTGGCAGCCTGACAGAATTTTCCTGAGGAAATGATGATTTTTAACACTTCACCTGGGGTAGAACTGAAAGAAGCTACAGGGGACAAAAAAAGGCATTTCTCCTATGCAAATATCAAAGGCCTGCTATCATCACAAGGTGTCACTACTTCTCTAAGAAAAGGTCCCAAAATTTTCCCCATCCCCACTGTAATACCAGGTTACCACAGTTTAATACCTGTTTAAACATAAGTCCAGTTCTGCAAAACTTGCAGGAAAATCTACTATTGACTGCACTGGAAGCTGCATTTGTAGTGATTCGCATGACTGGCCCCATATATGACTTTAGGAACATGTTATGCAAATATAGAAGATCTATATAATTCGCACGTACATAGCATAGCTACTTACCATTATACTGCTGAAAACAAAGTTGAGGTTTGGAGGAGAAACCTAAGCAAAACACCCACATTAATTTACAGTCTGCAACCCTTATTTAGGATATTTTACTACGTGCTTCAAAACACAATGATTTTCCTTTCAAAGAACCTATATTCTGTAGCCCTTGTCTATGGAACCCAATATACAGTAATGCACTATGCATCAACAAGATAGATACTTTAGAATTAATTACTTACTCTTGCAACATCACTTGCTGAGGAGACAAGGAAGTCATCATTGTAGGAGACATTTGTTCAGGACAAAACTCGGCCCTCAGTGGTTCAATTCCTGGTTCTACTTTGATTGTTTTCTTCAATATGGGCGTCTCATAAGATTCGATTACAGGCACTAGAGGGAAAAAAATCAAATATATAAAGAGTTATGCGAGTTAAAGGAAACAGACAAAATTTGTACATTAAAATCTCCCCAAACTAACATGATATTTTGCATCAAGTCTATTCTTATGCACTCCAGTTCAAATCTAGGGCTACGTCTACACTGATTCCCTCTTGCTCAAAAGTCTACACAAATGAAGCGTAGATTAGCATATTGCCACACTTCATTTGCATAATTAATTAGGGACTGGTTTTGCACAAAAAAGGAGCCATCTACACAGCTCCGTTTTGCGCAAAAACACCTTCTTGAGCAAAAGCCGTTCTTCCTCATTTTTTCAGGAAGAGTGGCTCTTGCTCAAGAGAGTGTTTTTGCGCAAACTGGAGCTGTGTCGATAGCTCCTTTTTGCGCAAAGACGGCCCCTAATTAATTATGCAAATGAAGCATGGCAATATGCTAATCAACACTTCATTTACATAGGCTTTTGCGTAAGAGGGATGCAGTGTAGACGTAGTCTAGATTACTTCTACGGATATCAATAGATTTATATGGGCATCAGCGAGAGCAGAATTTGAACCAATAAAACTAGGGGAAAAGATCAAACAGTGAAGTCTAGGTATTTTATGTTTCATGTCTCCCTTCCCCCAGCAACTGAACTAAACAAAAATACCAAATCACACCACAGCAAACTAAAAAACAAATCTACTCCCCCTATAGGCAGCAGAATGGAGTGGAGGAACACCTTCACCCTGCTTCTCCACCCCCACCCTTTCCCCAAAACAAAACCAAAATATAACCCCAAACCACTAAATGGCACAGCAGTAGAGAAACCCCCTTGAAACTGTTGACAGGGCAACTGCCCTGCATAAAAGAGTCCTGGATAAAGGAGAAATACAGCACAGCAGCACCTACCTGGCATGCTACTTGGATTTTCCAACTCTTCTGTAAGAACCGTAGACATAAGTATAGATTGCTGGAGATGTGGAGCATACATAAAAGGAACAGGCTGGACCACAAGTGGCTGTATAACTGGAAGTATTCCAGGGCTCCTAAGTCCATGACGTGAAAGAGCAGCCATTACTGGAGGGATTGTTAATGGCATGGGAAAAGGCTGAACACCTGGGGGAGGTGGGGTGGTGAATTTTTTCAAAGGTGGGCTGGGTGAGGACAAAGATAATCCAGGTGAGCCTCTTCTATGGATAGTCTGAAATTTCAGAGGAGAAGGAGAACTTCCTGTTGAAGGTGGAGAGCTTCGTTTATTCACTGTAAGATCAACTGGCTCCATTTGGATTCCATTAGATAGTCCTTCTGGGGTTGGATAGAATGTATCACGCAACATATTTGGGGTCGGATAAATGACGCTATGTTTGTTTGACTTCATTTGGTCCATGTAATTGGATGGGTATGACTGTAGAGGAAGAAAAAAAGATGAGAATTGAGTTACAAATGGCCGTTGAAGTGAAGGGGAAACAATGATGCAATCATGGCATTTTTCATTTACTCCTTTCTCTGAGAGAATGCACAAGATTTCTCACAAGGGAAATGATTCAATTTCTGATTCACTAATCATTTGGGAAGCAGTACACAATGTAAGATGAAAGTGGACCAAAACCTGACTCCTCAAGACTTATTCAAAGTGCTTTACAAATATTTATTGCAGCAAGGGATGTTTAGGTTGGACATTTGAAAAAACTTCCCAACGGTCAGGGTGGTTAAACGCTGGAATAAGTTGCCCAAGGAGGTGGTAGAATCTCCATCATTGGAGATATTAAAGAGCATCTTAGACATCAGTCAGGGACAATCTAGAAAAGGGATGTTAAGTAGCATTTAATTAGCTAATTGAGTAGTTGATGGAGTTTCCATCAACAACTTGGTTAGTTGATAAGGTGGGGGAGGGGTGCACTCACTACTCCCACTGCAGCTCTGCAGTTTAAATTTAGTAGGAGCTGGGCATAGTTCCCAGTGGCAGTGTGAGCTGGGACCAGGCAGTCTTGGCTCATGCCAGCTCCAAAACCGCAGTGCCTCTGTCTTTTAAATGTAGTAAGAGCCGCCTGGCTCCCCTTCTTGGTCCCCCGCTGCGGTCTGCTTTTAAACATACTAAGAGCCAGACAGCTCTTACTACATTTAAAAAGCAGAGGCGCAGCAGTTGGGGACCCAGCATGAGCCAGGACTGAAGCAGTCCTGGCTTGCCCCAGCTACCCCGCTGAGCCTCTGCCTCCCTTGTTCCCCCTCTACAGAGATGGTGCTGGGGGAAACCAAAGCCAACTTCCTCCAGCACTGGCTCCTGCTCCCCCCCTTGTTCCCTCTGATACAGAGGTAGTAAGGGAGGAGGAAGCGAGTAGTTGAGTAGTGACTTGACTACCTGATAAGCCTAGGCTTATCAGGTAGTTGACTACCTGACTAGTCGCTTACAACCCTAATCTAGATGGTGCTTGGTCCTGCCATGAGTGCAGAGAAATGGACCTGATGACCTCTTGAGGTCCCTTCCAGTTCTATGATTCATATCCAACCTGCATGGTAGGTACTTTAGGTACTATCCCCATTTAGAGATGGATAAACTCAAGCACTATGGAGGCTAAGCAGGATAATGGTGAAACTGGAAATAGGTCCCAGAAATCCTACACCACTAATGATTTTTCTAGTAATTGGAAAACACTGAACCACAATTTTCACTAACAGAAATGTACTCTAAACACACCCCCTCCCACCCTCCCTTTAACTAAAACTTACATAACTGAGCTCTGCAGACAGCACCACAGACAGCAAATATGAAAAAAGTAAATAAGTAAATTCTAAACCATTTCTTCAGTGTGTTTTTTTTCTTGGAGTGGGATTGAAGAGCATGCAACTCACTTGCTGTTTTAAACTTGGGAAGCGGAGCTATCCAGAAAAGGGAAAAAAAGGTGTGATTATCTGAGGTGCTGAATGTATTTCCTGTAAGTCAAGGGGAGTAAGTTGACGATGTTCATTCCCATTCAAGATTATGCTCAGTGCTGACCCTTTAATATCTAAGCAACAACATTTTCCAGTAAAGAAGTGAGAATCACAATAGCACTGAATTATATATATTGCCTCTGAGATACTATACTGAAAAATTTCTTATATTAAAAGTGTATAAAGCCCACTCAATTTTTAATGAAAATAACTGCTTATTTGAAGTGATGAGATATGCCATAATATGAACTGTACAAAGTGTAAACTATCGATTCAACTAAAATTTAAAAAGATAACTTTGGTATCAGTTTTATTAACTGAATTTCCACTTGTAGTTCTTGGTTGTGTCAATCTTTGCTTTGTTGCTATGCTGTTTCCTGGCTGTAATAAAACACAGCTTAGATTTTGGTAGCACGTTGGGAGCAGAAAGAATGTTGTAAATTTTTAAAAATTATAAGGATAGTGATAATTTATTAGCAGAAAGCTATTGGATTCTAGTATACAATCACTCCCATGATATTTTAAATGCATTTTGTTAAGGCTAAAAATTCTAGCTAGGTCTTGCCTTGCTTTTATATCTGTATTTCTTCCACTCATTCCTTACCGCTTTTGGTGTATTTTAACTGCTATTCATTTGAAGGTTAGACAAAAATATCATTGCTTTGGAATTATTGCCTCTGTTTTGATTATTGCAAGAAACAATACTATGCACTTTAGAAAATGGGAAGTTTTTCTAGCATTCCTATGAATGGTATATATGAAAACAAAGCTGAGTAGTTTATTCTGTACTCCATGCATACACATAACTAGCATTAATAGAAAAAATTGTTACATACACATAGGGAAATTAAAAGAGAACTGCTACCTATATGGTTGGTAATAATGTTTTTCAGTTTTAGAACTTAATACTATACAATGGATTAAACTAAGGATCTGTGTAGAAATTATATTCAGTTGATCTTAAAGGATTATTTTTCATATAAAAAGAAATCTTATGTTTATACCTACAGTAGATATATAATTCAGCTATCATACCAGTATTTGTTTTTAATAAAGTTCACAGGAATTCATGTTTTAGATCTTTTAACTATTTAGTATATGTGTGACTCAGAATAAGATATACATAGAACTTACAAGCACTGCTGGATAAAGAAATAATTATATTTATTAGAACTCAGTGATCAAGGCCACAGATTATTAATGGAATTTAATATGTAACAGTTCATCTACTGAATCTGATGAAGGCATGGTGTAGGTCAAAATTCAAACACTTAATACATAAGTTATATTAAAAGCGAGGGTTAAAATTTATGCTGTTGGCCTACAGTACCAAGTCCACGGGACCTCACTATGCCATAGAAACATTCAATAGTGCAGCGGGGCATCAATGGAAGCCTGGAAGAGTTATCACAATATCACCATCTACATTTATTATTTTTTAAATTTTGTTCCAGCACCAGTGAAAAATAGTAGAATTCCTAGAACATTTTTCATCCAAGTAAAGTTATCTTATATTCAGACAATATAAGGTTCTGAGTCTACAGGCATATGTGTATGTGACTGTCTTAATGCATAAGAGTAGGTACGTTGTCTCAGTCTCCATAAGTTTCTGCCGAACAGGGGCCTAACAAGTCTTTCTGTTTTTAAAATCATGCTGTATTGAGAAGGCCAAGGAGGACTGTAACAGAATAATGGAAAGGCAAAATGAAGAAAGACTATCCAATTAAAATCTTTGTTTAGAAGAGAGAATTTTTTCAGTAAAGTAGGAGACTGCAAAAGGAACAAAACACCTTTGGGCTATAACTTCGTTCATTAAAACATTTTTCTTTCTTTCAAGACTCAAGTCAAATAAAACTCATATTGGGAAAATGCCAGCCTATTAAAACAGTAGTGCAGAAAAATACTAAAATGATTCTGAGCTGTTGGAAGAATTTCTTAATGTTAGTTTAGAAAAAGTTACAGATTAAATTCAAAGCAACAAAGACTCTTCAAAAATTGGGATTATGACAATTTTATTTTTCAAAAGTTGATTTGTTGAGGATTCAAACCTGCTCTAGACCTCTTGATTTTGCCTGGAATGAAAGGTTTTCATTGTTGTAACTAAACTGGCAGAGATTTGGCTTAAGTCAGCTATTCTTTTGTGCCAGTCTGGAGAGGCTGTCTCATTTTTCTAAGCTTTCCTTCACTCTGAGATTTTACTTGCTATAGTCCTATTTGAACTGCAGATAATGTCAGTAACAGAAAAAATGAGGAGACAAAGTTTTCCTTTACATACTTTTTTCCTACTTATTTTTGTAAACAAAAGAAGAAATCTTAGGTATAAAAAATGTTAAAGGCCAATGGATGTATAAAGTGAATAGAAAAAAGTATAACAAACTTCTCTGTTCAGATTATACTTATAAAAATCATTCAAAAATACAGTCAACCGTTTTATGCATTATGTTAGGCACATTAAAAACAAAGTGGAGGCTATGACAGTATAGAATAGATCAATGTAAAGTAAGGTTATTCTGTCAGACACATAATACATACATTACAACCTACTTTTATTGAATTTATAGTGTTCTAGTGAAAATGCACTTCATCTAGTGAAGCTTCATTTGTCTTCTAGAAGTGTGAAACTTCATTATGAATTAATTTTAATCTCTTTGGAATGCAACAATTACCATTATTAGACTAATAATAATTGATATTTTCAAAAAAGATTGTCACTGTTTCCTACTTCACTCTGGCCTAGAAAAGCTGGCTATCATGTAGCAGCAAAGCAGAATCTCATATTATAAGAACTATCAACAGTAACCAAGAGAAGTGGTTTGTGATCTTGCTCCCCATTAGGAGAGACTACTTGGCCTTCCATCATAGCAGCAAGGGGCCCCAAAACTTGCAGTGTCAGGGGTGAAGAGCAGTCTCCCAGAAGAGCTATTTCCTACTGCTAGATCCTGTTTTGCTACTTAAAAAATCCACTAATAGTGATGGTTTGTGTGAAAGATGTACCTTAAGAGGATTCCACATCAGCAAAGAAGTTGATCATGTGAGTATTTTGCTGAAGTCAATGGCACTACTCACAAGCATGGTATTAAGATCTGTACTGTTGTCCTGTGACTGCAGAGGTGCCAATGGGTAGTAATGTAAAATCCTGATTAATCAATTAACTGGTTATGTTAATCGGTTCCCCAAGAGCAGTCCCCTGCCCGCAGCCTGCCGTGCGTGAAGGGCTGCTCCAGCTCCAACAGGCCCCTGTGCATGGCCTGGGGCTAGCAGGGGCTGCTCTAGCCTGGCTGCTGCTTCTGGCCCCCCATGACGATGCCAACTTCCATTGTGGGCCGTGGGGAGGGGAAAGGGGCCACTTGTGGGCAAGGGTTAACAGTTACAAGGGAATGGGGATGCTTACCAGGTATCAAGTTACCCATTCACCTCTCTGTTTGTTGTGTGCACTCAAGCATGTGTGGATGTTCACCACCAGTTGAAACACAT